TATAGAAGTGCGCATTATTACATAGGAAGGATTATAAATTAATTTCATCGAAGAATAACAAAAAAAAACAAAGCACGATACTAATTAACTTAATTCATTCTCACCTGGTCTTTAAATGTAATGAATTATGTAGATAACCATTTTCTTTTATATGTCGTGTATTTTTTTGATTAAGTTTTATAGAATCATCAAATGAAATTGAATCATTTATTGGTGAAGTTTGATCTTCATCTATTGTTTTATGTGCTGTACCACTACTAAATAATTTGTCTAGTGGTGGTAATAAACGATCAAGAGACATTTTCTGAGATTTTTGTGAAATTTTGTCGTCACTAGGTGTACGAGTTCTTTTATACCAAGGAATTGTTAATGAAAGAGTACTTAGTTTTCGACGAGCATTTGATTGTGTTGTTGCTGTTGCTGTTGCTGTTGCTGTTGCTGTTGTTGTTGCTGTTGTTGATGATGATGGAGTTGTTGTTATTGATTGTTTTCGAATTGGTTCAGCATTTACATAATAAAGATATTTTGAATTTGTTGTCGGAGGCGATGACAAATGAAGTAAATTTGATGGGCCGTCACAAGGTAGACTGCACCAATTGAAATGACGATAATTTTTATCGGTTTTCGTCTCACTAGTTGCAGCCACGGTTAGATGACTCGTAGACGACATAAGACAAAAAGGGAATATTAACTGGCCTACGATGGCAAAGAGTGATCAAAGTCATTTAAGAAAAACATATCGAAATATACTAAGATAAAAGCACTAGTCTTATTCAATAAATGTCTCCCGTTTTCTTTCTTTCTTTCTTTCTTTTTTTCTTTTTTTTTTCTATCAAGAGCAGTATTCATATGAAGAAGATCTAACATCAATCGTATGATAGTGGAAAAGATGAACATTAATTTACTTAAATAGAGTTCTCCCGCTCTCGATACAAACTGACTATTTCTTTTTTTCATTCTGTTTTTTTCATTCTTACCGACTTCCTCTCATATTTTATATATGGTGCATTCTTATTTGGTGTCTGTAATCTTGACATACTAGATTATAATCATGATAATGATAATTTCTTTTTCTTTTTTTTTTTTTTTAATTCAGTTATTCTTCGTTGACGGCAGGGAAATCCAGTAGATATTTGTAGTTTTAGCACACTATATGTTTACATTATTATAGAAATATGGTTGAATTTTTACAAAAAAACAATATATTCTATACTATGAGAGGTAACTCGTCACCTTCGTTTTTTTTTGTTCTTACCTTCTATTCTTTTTCCGTTGTTATTTCCTAATCGAGTTTAATGGAAGACGAAATTCAAACATGCTATTTTTTGTCTTATTATCACACATAATGGTATGTGTTTCTTGTCAAGCTCCAGATGTTTTTAGTCCAAAGAAAATACAAATAAATCTTGGCTCTAAAGTTTCTCTAATAGAACTTGAAAAATGACGAATAACTAGCTATAATCGTATGATGCGATGCACATATTTTTTCCAAATGACTGTCGTCTGTATGTAAACTAGACTAATCAAAAGGAAAAGAACAAATATTTTTTATGCATTCAAACATGAACACAAACATTATATATGAATCTATTATATATTAATTTGAATTTTTTCATTTATATGTCAAAATAAATAACAATTGTGCTTATCACTTATTTATTAAAATTTATTATATGAATAACCTAAGTCGACAATCATAAATATATATATATATATATATATACATTAAAACTGAAGAATTTTGAATCTTATATTCTATATTGTATTATGTTGAGTTCGTGCTCCTATTGATAATTCAATTGATAGAATATGAGAGAGAATGAGATTCTAGAAATAATGTCTTCGCTTGTAGAGATAGAGAGACAAGAAAGAAAGAAAGAGAAAATATAATACGCAATTTCTTAATCACATGTAAATTCATTGGGGATCTAATGAAAAAGATAAATTTATAACTATGAATTGGACTACTAGTGATCATAATCAAATCAAATTAGCACTTTTGATTAGTCGACTGTATAAATACATGTTTACTCGAACGTCATTCATTGTAAAAAAAAAAAGAAAAAAGAAAAGAAAAAGAAAAAGAAAAATATGAATTTTTGATTATTATTATTATATTCGAATATAAATATACCTGTGATATTGCTTCATAATTCGAAATACTATTGATCGATTTATAATAAGAAATTAGAAAATGGACATAAATATTTTATTTATATTATGATTCTAAAATGTGCCAAAAATTGTCGTTGTTATTGATTGCAGGAAAGAATGATAAGTATAAGATTATGTTTTCTTGTTGTCGACAAATAAACGCAATTAGATCGTTCGAATATAAGCAATATCGTACTTATTGAAATAATCGACGTTTTTATGTCTGCTTCTACTTAATGGTGATAGGAAATGTATTGCTAAAAAAGAACATGCCTAATATTCTAAATAAAGATGATTCATATATATGCTTAACTAATTCCTCCAAACAATAACAATAGTAGATGTAAAGTAAGGCAAATGTTTGTACGAAACCAATTGTTGATATTTCTTTTCACTACATCAACAGACAATAATTGTAATAATGTGTAAGATCTTATGTATTGACTTGGATTGAAATAGAGCAAAACAAGATTGTTTAGATAGATATATAGAAATACTAGTACAACGAATGAATTTCAGCAATCAATAGCAGACATAACTATCATCGATCATGTTGTAACTATATGTATATATCTCGATCGAGGACTACACAAGCACAATAAAAGAAAAAATAAGACTATTCGCATAATCAATAAGGAAATCGAGTCTGTCGGACATCGATCAATATTAAACGACGAGCTTGTTAGAATTTTTTATTAAGTCAATGAAAAAGAGATTTAGATCTTATTTCTTTTTTTTTTTTCGCTCATCCTATCGAATAGATTGACATATTAATAGTAATAATAATCGAGTCATATATATATACATATACATTTTTTTTGAATGATGATTCAATTAATAATTGAAATTACTAAGTTCAATATTTTTTTGTATATTTGATTCATCGGACGCATGAATAATTGTAAGAATCTATATGTCATCATAAATTGTTGATTTTCTATTAGTGTACTCGAAAAAAAAAATCGAGACTACGATGACTACTGGATTATTGATATAAGATACAAAAAAAAAAAAAAAAAAGACAGAATTATACGATCTAATACTGTATTGACAATTAAATTTAGCAATAAGATGTTAATTTCAATTGAATTATCAAATATTAAGATTAGAGTTTCATATTCATGATTAGTTCTTGATATGTCAAAATGACAATAATCCTCTACTTCTTTTTTTTTTGTACAACATTAATCTTTGAGAAAATAGAGAATATTCTTCCATTATTATCTGTATATATAAGTATGTTAGCTTATATTGTTTCTGTCAATCATCTTCTATGTGCCAGAATCAAATTAGATGAAAGAAATTCGTCGGCTTCATAGCCTTTTGGGAATAATTAAAAAGAACAAAAGAAATTCAGTTAATCAAATACAGAAAATTATCTAAATTAAGATTTCTTGTTTTTTTGTTTGAGAACTAATTAATTCCATATAAAATAAATATATAATAACAAAACCAAATATAAGCAAAATATTCTTTCGTCTACGGATAATAGTCTAGTGCAAGTATTTCCTTTTCTACATAGATCGAATAATTTCGACTATTGAAAAAAAGTACAATTAAAATTATATAATATGAAAACTAATTAATATTTTAAATAATTGCAAGCAGTTTATACTGATATATTTTATAGTTTATGGTAATATTTTTTTGTTATTTAGAGTCAATGGTATTTTCTTTTAGATTGATTGTTTACTATCTGTGTACAGTTTTTCTTGAAGTATTTACTTAACATAGAAGATTTTATCTGATAAAAACTACAGTTGTTATTATGTATCAATGTAAATGATTCTATCTAGTCGAAATGTGTTTGAATAAAAACAAAAAATATTTTAATACATACTTTTTCATTGTGTGTATCATTTGTTGAAAATATAATTTAATAAATTGTTTTTTTTTTTTTTTGTTTTGATAAAAAAGTTCCCAGAAGACTAAAAAATATAGAACTTAACAAAATGTCTTCTTCTCGAAATTCAAGGTTATAAAGAGAAATAACATATTTCATCTTATCGCTACTCTACTTGCCTAATGGGAATAAGGACAGATAATATATTTGAGAAAGCTTATCTCCTTTCGACTAGTTCTGACAAACAAATACATAATTACGAAGAAAAAACATAATGAAGTGATATTTTTAAAGGTCGTGTATACTACAGCTGGAAAATGTTCATTAAAAATTGATAAATATTTAGATATTGAAGTCTGGCATTATACTATCATATAAGGAAAACATATTTAATTGAAGACTTCATATGGTAAGCATTCGATAATATTTGTTAACTATCTCAGAATGATTTTCGTTAAAAATCGGTGATTATTTCTCGTAATACTATTTCTTATCAATTTATTTTTTCATTTTTTTATTTAATGTATCTTCACGATATGACTTATTATCATCTTCTATTTTTATATGCTATACAATCGAACTACATGTTTATTTTATTTTTTAATAGTTTTATTTTGAAATTCATACTTACATATTAAAAATGATAATTCTATATTAATATAGTAGCACACTGAAGTATAAGTTGGACTGGACGTTGTCTTACTCTGAGACGAAAGAAAAACATGATAATTACCCTTGTTGACACTATATTTCATCGGTTTTCTTCTGTCTTATCATCTACGATCTTCTAGCTACGCGACTACATTTGTGTGTTTGTGTATTTCTAAATTTACACCCTATCTGTCACAAACAATCATACCTATTTTCGATAGATGTCGGAAAAAGAATGTTTAAATTTTCAAACGATAAAATGGTGTTTAAATAATCCATTTTGCTTCTTTTTTTTTTCTTTCTTTACATTCGTTTTACTTAAATAAACAATAACATAAACACATGTAAAACAATGACAAGTAATCCAGTACAAAAAACAAACGAAACAACCGATAATAAAGATGTGGTTGTATCAAATGATACATCAACACAATCATCATCAAAAGTTCAAACTAAACTAATGTCTCGATTTTGTATATCAATTGATGATGATCCAATTATTTTACTTAATATTGGTGGTATACATATGTCAACAAGACGATCAACATTAATGTGTATACCAAATACAGTTCTTGCTTTAGCTTGTACGAATTCATGGTCAGAAAAAATAACACATGATAATGATGGACGTTTATTTTTTGATTGTGATCCAAATTTATTTCAATTTTTACTTAATCAATTACGTGAATGGTCATCATCAACACGTAAAGTATTTGAATTACCACGAAATGAATATGATCGACAAAGATTTCGTTTATTATGTTATCAATTTAATTTTCATCGAGATTTAATTGATGGTATACATCGACATGAAAAATTTCATAAATTATGTGGACATATTTTACTTGATGAACATAGTTCTGTTGCTATACATGCTGGAAATTATCGATATGGTGAATGTCGAGGAATTAACGTTTATTCATCTGGTATTAATCGTATAATATTAAGATTAAAACATGATTCAATGGAACAATATAATACATTTATTGGTATTATTTGGTCAAGTACTCCAATGCAAGAAAGATCTTTTGAATCGCCAACAGCCTATGGTTGGGCAGGTGGAAAACAAGTTTATTTAAGAGGTATACCATCATGTATACAAGGTTATGGTGGATATGATTCAGATATGTGTACGAATGATACAATTGAATTAATATTAAATTGTCAATTAAGTTTTATTTCAATATTGAATCATCGAACAAAAAAATTGTATCAAATACCAATTGATACACGTGAAGGTTGTCCATTTCCTTGGCAATTACATATTAATTTATGTGAACCTGATGATCGAGTGAAAATAGTTAATCCAACATAGAATAGAAACAAATTTTTCGAATGTCTCGTTTTTTTTTTCTTTTATAAGCTATTTCAAAACAAATTATTAATTGAAATTATGAATAATTAATGATTTCTATATTTTAATTAATCACAAGGGATTACATTCTATATGAATGCAAAGAAATATAAAAATTCGGAATAATTTCGTAGAATATAACAAAATGATTTATTTGAGTTTAATCTTCCGTATGAACGAAAAGAAAAAAACAAATTTTAAATTGAGTCTATCATCCTTCCTGTTATTTCGCGTTCGTAAGATAGTTCATATCTTATCCGATTTCCTTTGAATATATCACTTATATAGTGGAATTCTATGCAGTCTTATGTATGGCAAAACCGATGGTTAACCGTGATTACACAACAAAAAAACCGCACGGTCAAATAATTTACTCTTTTTATAACAAATTTGTAATTATTTATTTCTATTAATTTGGTTTCATCTATAATGAAAACATCAATTTCATCCAAAAAAAAAAAAGATAATTTTCATGGGTTATAGTATGTTTTGTTAAATGATACTGCAATGATTTCGGTTCTTCTTTCTTCACTTTAATCACATCCGCACACTGATTGGTGTAATTCACACACACAACACAACGTTGCAGGTGAGGGGGCGCTGTGATTAAAGTGAAGAAGTGCCTTTTATTTTGCTAGAAAGAGCAGAACATCTAGTGAAAAAATATATGAACGAATTTGATTGGAAATATTCTCTAAAGGCTACAAAATTCTGAGAACAAAAGATATGAAGTAACTCTTTCGAAACAGTTTTGATTTTTGAAAATAACTATCGAATCTTATACTAAGCGGTGCTATTTGAAGAATAGGATACAACTTCTGTGTGACATATTTTTATTTCCACGTTTTAAATTCTCAAATTGAATTGTCTCTTGTATGTTAAATCATATTACACGAAAGTCGCCGTTGTAAGGAATAGCTATACATACAATGATTTGCAAAAAAAAAAACGTGAAACAAATCTTTAACCTGTATTAACGCCTATTTCAACTGCTTTCCAAAAAAAACTGTTTCCTGATTTAATACATAGTAATATACAGTTCGGTGTTTGATTCGTTCTCTTTTTGACTCAATTACTAAGAAACATCTGTTCTCCATGCTGTTAATTAAATCAATTATAACATCTTTTTCAATGTTTTTTTCATTCTTCATCGACAAAATTTTCAGTTCGTTAATATTTTTTAATTTTCTTTTTTCAATCTGATATTTCTTGATATTCCACATATTTTCAATCGGATTGAGGTCCGGACTATTCCCGTGTGATAAAAACCGGCGGTTAACCGCGGTTTTATCGAACCGGTTAGCCGGTTTGCCGATGATCATTGACATTTAGTTGCTCCAAATCATCGATTTTGTTGTTTTAAATGTTTTTTTTTCTTGTATCTTTCCATTTCATAAAAATGCTCGAAAAAACCGTCGATTTACCACTAAAAACTATCCGGTATTTACGATATGGGTTGGATGGTCAGTTCATAATAAGTGGAACATTGACAGCTCACCATCCTTCAGCCTTTGAAGATCGATATTTGAAGTCATTATCTTGTTGAAATCGTCATTTATTATTAGAGTATTGTTTAGCATTGGAAATCAAGTTATTTTCTAATATTTCGATGTAATAACCACTGTTCATAATATTTTGAAATAAATGAAAATCCATTGTTCCATGATAATTGATGGCACTTCAAACATGAACTTTTTGTCGATTGTTCGGAATTCTTTTTTTTCTTCTTTTGACTATCAATGAATTGTATTTCTAAACAATTGAAATGAACTTTCCATCGGTAAATACTGTAGATTTCCAGTTATCATTTAAATGTTGCTTGCCCAATTCAACTCGACATTCTTTATGTTCTTGTGTGAGCATTGGAGTATTTGATGGTAAACAATTTGCATATTGAAGCCAACATAAATGACGTGAAATTGTACTGGTAGAAACAGTTAATTTACATTGATTATACAACTGTTGGCTTACCCGAATTTCGCCAATAAGACTTTCGCCAACTGGACATTCGCCAATGGCGAAAGTCACCCGGGTATATTGGCGAATGTCCTGGAAATGTATTGACGAAAGTAGGAAGTACAGTGGACTCTCACCAATTGAAAAAAGTTCGATGGGCTTTTACTAATTGTAACAGAAGAAAATAAATGTTGGATATGAGCGAGGAGAATGGGTGTCAGCATCTATCTTGGTGCTGCCTATTAACCCACATGTTACACTGATGAATGCACATCAGACTCTCGCCAATTCGCGAAAGTCGTCTGAATCTATTGGTGAAAGTACAGTGAACTCTCGCCAATTGGCGAAAGTCACTAAGGTATATTGGCGAAAGTACAATGGACTCTCGCCAATTGGCGAATGTCCTGGACATGTAATGGCGAAAGTATAGTGGACTTTCGCCATTGGCGAATGTCCTGTCGGCGAAAGTCTTATTGGCGAAATTCGGAAATCCCCAACTGTTCAGTCAATACATGCAACATGACTTCATTATTTTGTCTAATAAATTGATCTAATGCCGGGCTACATGTGGCGCTAATCTTACGTCTTCGACCATTGCCTGCTCGATATTATAGAGAATCTTGAGTTCGAAACTTTTTTAATTGATAATTAATTGTAGACAATGATATCTTTGTAACTCAGTGGATTTTTTCCGGTAGAACGAATTCCTGTGTTCCAATAATGTAATACAGAAATATGATGTGATTTTAGACTATTTGTCTTTTACCGTGTCAGATTATAATTAAAGAATGACAAAATAGAAATTAATCAAATATATGAATATTTTTAGTAGATAATCTGGTGAGTATAAATCTACAATAACAGCCAAATAAAGTTTACAGGGAATCTAGAAAACATAAAATATTTATGCTGTCAGTTTGTTCGAAGTTTTTTTTGCAAATCATTGTATATGATACTAGACAATATCAATAGTCGATAACGAAAATAATTCAACAAATATATTTGAATACAAACATTATAGCTGATATTCCGTTGTGGAAATATTTCTGATCAAATTCTTTGATACATTTTTGCATTAGATATTTTACTCTTGAATAATAAAGTCGTTATGATATTACATTAAAACACTATATCAAAAAACAAAATTAATGCAGAACTTTTGTTCCATTCCTCATTATGATTAAATATTATCCATTTTCTGTGATCTATTCATATATATAAAAGCCCACTTTCTGCTATACACACACACTTTAAAAAACACGCAAGGACATAACGTTTCATATAATCGATTTTGTTTGTTTAGGTTTATATACTTTCAGATCAATGATTGGACAATAAATGTAATTATAAAAAGAAGTAAGACTAGGCAAAATATGATCAAACTAAGTTGGCCTATTTATTAGGATAATAACGTCGAAATGTTGATACTGTTGGATTTGTATCATCAGAATTATTTCGTCGAAATGATGGCGATGTTGTCTCTATTGTCATTTTCTGATTGGAACTGCTCGCTGTCGATCTAGAAAAAGAGAAAAAATTTTTTCTTTTGCTTTGTTAAAATCAAATATGTAAAACCAAAAAAACAAAAAAAAATTCATGCAAATTTAGTATTCTAAAATCCAAAAATTCAAGCAAGAAGAAAATCAAGGATAAAATGAGGAAAAAGCCAACCTTTTCTAATCAATGAAATAGAAATAAAAAATAAACAAATATGCTTATAAATATAATAAACATAATAAATTTAATCGACGATTGAAATTCTTTGTTAAATTTCTTCAAATCTTCATATGAACTAATTTGAATAAAACTCATTTTATTATTAGAAAACCAATCAAAATTTCTATAGAACTATATTAGTTTTTTTTTTCTAGTAACTATATTAATCAACATATACTAATTTTATATTACCTGTCAGTTACTGATAACCTCTTTGAATTATGAGGTTTGTTGCTAAACGCCTAGAAAGCCAGGACAAGGACACACACATATATGTATATAAGATATACATGAAAGGGAATATAAATGAGAAAGACATGCGTATATATATATATATAGACAAGGTGCTGTATTCGATCTGAATTTGGATACAAGCCTAATTTATTTATATATAGACAGTTCGATATTTGATATGCATAAAAAAAGAATTATGATGATGATTTATTTGAAAGATTTCAATAGATTATACTTGTATATAGTATCAGACAGATTATGTCAATTTGATGGTTAATTTAAGTCTCGTTATCTGCTATTTGTTGTTTAATGATTTGGAAAACAAAAATCATTCCAAGCAATCGCATCTTCTTTACCAATGTGGACATAAGGATTTAACAGTAATTTAAGCAATAAAGTAACAGTTATTTGTTTTCGATGATACAATATTAATCCAAAATGCTCTAATAATATGAAGCTTACTAATCTTCTATGACGTATGAAACGACTGAATTAAAATAATAATTTTTTATAAAGACATTCGGAATTTTGGTAAATTTGATACAAAAAAAAAATTATGTCACAAAAAATGAATAATTTGTATTAAAATTTTTTTTTTTTTTTTTTCGTTGATGATATATGCTTATTTGAAATATCGAACTATCTAAAGATTATTTCTTGTTCTGGATTTTTTTGTTGTTTAAGGTTTAAATCTCTTACCGAATGATGTCCTTTTTGTTCTTTAATTTTTGCATAAAGTTCAACAAGAATATTTTTTCGATTTTTATTTGTGGCAATACTAATAGCTGTTTGTCCATTCTAAAATAGAAAAAATTTGTTCTTAATAAATAAATTCACAGGTTTTTTTTTTCAAACACTTTTTATTACATTATCAACAATATCAACATCACATTCAGGTCCTGTTAAAAGTAATTTAACGATATTTAATGATCCATGTTCAACAGCACACATTAATGCTGTTGATCCTTCGGAATCTTGTAAATTAACTGCTGCACCATTTTCTAATAATAATTCAACCAAATCTGCTTTTCCATGTTTAACAGCAAGCATTAATG